TGTGATTGTGACAAGCATAGGAGTCTGACCTCTGATTTCTCAAGTGCCTTGGTCATCTCTCTTCAGCCCCTTAAAAGGCTTTGAGCTCTGTTGATGGACCATCTGTAATGTCTATTTCTGCCCTAATCGGGGTGGCAATGCCCGCCTGAAAATTAATTTCCCACCGGCTCCTTGTCAGATCACTGTGTCAGCTTTTGCAGTGGTAGCTCCTTGCGTATGAATGTCCCACAGGACACTCGCCAAAATATGGGGACAACTCAGAAAGGGTGTTTTCTAAGAGAAGGTGGAAAAAAATGCTGTAAAGCTTTAGGGTTTATAAGGACTGCCTCAGTCCCTGCTCCCTGGATGGTCTTTTCTTTTAATGTTGAATGCTGCAAAGGTATGTTTGTTTTTCTTCCAAGTTCAAATACTGTACTTCTGTGTTAGGTTTTCGTTAAAGGCAGAGGAGCCGGGTCAGTTGGCAACCTTGTCATAGAGGGCTGAGTCCTACACATGGATATGTACAGTGGGGTCTCTACTTAAGAACGTCCCTACTTAAGAACAATCCAACTTAAGAACAGCTCCATTTGCTAAATTTTGCTTCTACTTGAGAACAGAAATCCAAGATAAGAACAGGAAAAAAAAACTTTCCTGCTCTTTTTTTAACCTTAGGTCATCTTAGGTTAAAAAAAATTCTCCCCCTAGTGGTAGAGTACGTATTAACCAGCTTGCATTAGTTCCTATGGGAACTAATGCTTCAATGTACGAACGCACCTCTACATAACAAAAAAACAGCCAGAATGGATTAATTGGTTTTCAGTCCATTCCTATGGGAAATTTTGCTTCAGCTTAAGAACGTTTCAACTTAAGAACACCATTCCAAAATGGATTAAGTTCTTAAGTAGAGGTTCCACTGTAGTTTCTATGGACGGAAAAGAGCAGATACGGATTAAATGGTTTTCAATGCGTTCCTATGGGAAATGCAGATTCAACATAAGAACTTTTCAACTTGAGAACCACCTTCCAATACGGATTAAGTTCTTAAGTAGAGACATCACTGTATTCACTTATAAAACCTTTAGCTCAAGGGTACACTGTTTGAGTACAGAGAGACAATTCCTGGGGTTTCCAGTTAAGACTGGAAACATCCCTGGAAAGAGCCATTGAGAACTCCAGCCAACTCGGAACGACAGGGACCGATAGCGTCACATAAGGTTGGTTACTCTGATTTTAAAAGTACCTTTTGTTCATTGTTACGAGTAGGGGTGTGTGATCTTTTGTGTTTTGGTACGGCAATTCTTGGAATCCTCGAAAAATTCTGGAGATTGCAACCCACAGAATCAAGTATGCGCCCTGGTAGGTTTTATCCTTCTAGAGAAGAGCTTTCTCATAAGTCTCATAAGTGTGGCAGGTAAGTCTCATGACTTACCTGCCACACCACCTTGCCTCTTGTTGCTGATTTATTAAAAAGAAAGAACTGGGGGGGGGGAACTTGCCACAGTGCTTCCGGGAATCATAGTTCTTTGGGAGGTACAGCCTAATGGTCGGTGGGACTACAACTCACCCAAACCACCTACCACGGGGCCTCCCCCCCTCAGAACTTCCATCTTGTCCAGGTTCAGCCTCAGCCCGTTCTCCTGCATCCATTGCAGTACAGTCCCCAGGCAATGCTGAAGGGACAGAACGGCATCTCCTGCTGTAGATGGAAAGGAGATGTAGAGCTGGGTGTCATCGGCATATTGATGACACGAAGCCCCACATCCCCTGATGACCCCACCCAGCGGCCTCATATAGATGTTAAACAGCATTGGGGAGATAATCGACCCAGCATTGTTAATCCTGAGAACCTTTTGCAGTTCCTCCTAGCTTCTTGTTTTTAACAAATCAGCAAGCAAAGGCCAAAGAAGCGGATCGTGCAGATAAACGGCTCAAAATCCGTGTGCAGATTTGGGTTGTGGGCTGCAATACCTGGAGTTTCCAGAGAATTCTGCGAATTGAAATCCATAAAAAAACAAAAAACAAAAAAAGCATTGTTAATCCTGAGAACCTTCTTGGCTTATTGCACACAGGAATATGTTCTTTTGTTGTGTGCCATCAACTCACTCCAGACTTCGAATGACCCTATGAATCAGTGTCTTTCAAAAGATTCTGTCATTCATAGGTGTGTGCAGGTCTTGGAAACTCAATCCTGTGGGTTCTTTTAGGCAGTCTGTCCTTCTCGTATTTGGTTTTCCTCTTACCCTCCCGCCTTCAAATTTTTCCTGGCATTTTTCTTGTCGGTCTTAGAGTACACACTTGGCATGCCAAAGAACTGATTTAATCCATTCCTTCTCCAGGTGTTACACCTTCCTGACTTGTGGGCTTGATGAATCAATAATTTGATTCTGCTTAAGACAGCTTCCTTTCTCCCTGTGTGTTTCTGTCCTACAGAACGCATGTCAATGCTTTATTTTTTTTTAAGGGCTGGTTTGTTCAAAGGAAGGCGCAGGCGGAGTAGACCTTTCTCATTACGGGCGATTTTTAATATGCATGCATAGAGATTTTACTTCCTCCTCCTTGTGGCGTGGCCAGCTTTTTAAGTCTGGCTTGACTCCTATAAAAGAAAGAAACCATCGGGAGGTGCAGCCCCTTGGCAGGCATGTGTAATTATGTGGAAAGCCTTACTTGCTGCATTTTTGCCAGGCGCACTGCTGTTAAAATCACAAGAGCATTGCCAAGGAGGATTGGGGGGGTGGGGGGAACTGGTAGCAAAGTGACCAGGATTTTGCCAAAACAGGCAAAGGGGAAAAACTGACCTAGACGATGTTCTTCTGCCTCTAACAAAACCTTGACGTCCAGAAATTAGCATGTGCTGTTCTTTCACAGATGGAATTGTGCTTTACTTGTGGCCTTGCAATGAGTCAGACCATCGGGTGACCTAGTCCACTATTCTGAGAGTTTGGAAGTGATACCTTTGGAGACGACGACTCCCATCATCCCTGGCCAAGCAAACTGGGGGGTGATGGGAGTTGTAGTCCCCAAAAGTAACATTTCCGAGCACTGTTTTATGTGATCGGCAGCCAACCCCCTCAGAGCCTTCTCAGTCTTGCAACCTGCTGCATGCTTTTTATTCAGCTGGCCCCTGCCAAATTTGGGGGATAGGGAGAAGCGGGGAGGGGGGACTTATTTAATAGAGTCGTGTGGATATGCAACGGGCCTGTTTAAAGGAATATTTTATTCCCCCTCCCAGAATTCCTGGAGGCATGGTGGAGTCACAGGTGGGCACAAGGTTTTCACAAGGTTGCCCGTTGCCCACTCCAAAAATGGTGCCCGCCTGACCAGCCAAACTACAGTTCCCAGAGTTCCACAGTGTGGGGGGACGGATAATGTCCGATGACAGATTTTGGGGGCTTGCAGTTCCTCCCTCAGGGTTGGCCATGCTGGCTAGGACAGAGATGTACATTGACAACCTTTGGAAGCTCCTTGCTCTCACCTAGCACCGTTGCCCAAGCTATTTTGCCGCCTGAGGCAAAACAGTCAACACCCTGCAAGCCAGCCACATTCTTTTGGCCCACAAATTCCTCTGGGCACCTCTCAGAAATCATACAATCGCAAGTTCTCTCGGGGAACCTAAAGACAGAACATCTCAGCATTCTTTCAGGAAGGTCTTCACGTTGTATAGTTTGAAGACCATGTCACAGACATATTATTTATCATTGTAAAAGAACATATCCCACACTCAATTTCCCCACCCCCATTTTTTTTCTGGAAAAAAACACACACACAAAAATCAGCCTTGGAAGAAATTGAGGGAAAAAATCTATTTTCCCTCCCCCAAATGTTTCTGTTTTTTTTCCTTTCCTTTTTTTTTCCCCTTTCCATCAGGCCTTCCCATCTCTAAGTGCAACACATGAAACAAATTTAAATGATTTGTCTCTTCTGGACACTCAGAACCTGCTGGCTGAGCAACCTGCCTTACTTTTACTAAGAGTAGACCCTGCCGTAAACGGTAGGCTATTTTTAAGGGCCCGTGATGCACGTTGTGGTCAGAACTTGCAAGAAACTAGTTACAAGTCATGACTTTGCACACAAAAAAACAGCTTTGGAAGAAATTGAGGGGAAAAAATCTATTTTCCCATCCCCAAATGTTTCTGTTTTTTTTTTCCTTTCCATCAGGCCTTCCCGTCTGTAAGTGCAACACATGTAACAAATTAAAATGATCCGTCTCTTCTGGACACTCAGAACCCGCTGGCGGAGCAACCTGCCTTACTTTGACTAAGAGTAGACCCTGCCATAAACGGTAGACTATTTTTAAGGGCCTGTGATGCACGTTGTGGTCAGAACTTACAAGAAACTAGTTACAAGTCATGACTTTGCCCAAAGCTAGTTAGTTATTCTTAGGATAAGGGGTCATGTAACTCGCAGGAACAGAATTCTTTTTAAAGTGTAACCCCTAACACCCAGTTATTTTCAAAGTTATTTTTCAAGAGCCTTTGAGGTCATGTTTAGAACTACTTTGTCAGGAATTTGTTAGGTTTTATGCTATTCCTTGATCAATCCTACAAAGCAAGAGAAGTACTGTACGTTTTGCCGTCCTCTTTTTGGAAAAAAAAGAGTATTTCCAAGCTGCAGTATCAGCCCTGGGCCACTAGAGACATCATCCTCTCTGTTTCCCCTCTTCCCATTGATCTGAGTTCCTCACAGTCTGTGGGAGAAAAGTGGATTTTCCTGGGCATGATGCATTTATTAGGCACTATGCCTGTGGTAAAACAAAGTGTTTTAAGGCTGGTTTGGACTCGAGCAGGTCATTAAGAGCCACTGATGTTGCAAAAGACCTTTGCTGATGTGGACTGATCCATTTGCCTCCATTTTTTAAACTCTCCTTGTTCGGGGTGGGGTAGCTACAGGACCTGCCATGGGGACAGTTATAAAGTGGCTGAGACAATCTGAAAAGTGGAGTGTCTACATTTAAACAAAGGAGGAAGGGCTACAGGCTCATACCTTTGGGAAAAGTCTCTCAATCCAGCCCCCCATGGGCCCACCAGCCTCTCCAACTCCGCATCCAGAGCGTCGAGAAACCATTCACCCGATATTGAGCCCAATGACTCCATCACCTCATCAAAAAGACCTTTCAAAGTCCGGTTCAAAATTGAGCTCAACGTCCACGTCGAAAGCCCCAATTCGTCCTGATGGCTCATCTAAGAAAAAGAAGGATAAGACCAAACCTAAGAGAATTAAGAAACCTACAAAATCGACTCAGATAGATCCACCTCAACCGGGGCCTCCACCACTGATCCTTGAGGAGGCAACTAGAGACACCCCTGGCTCAATTTTGGATAGAGACGACCCAACTTTAACACCAGCTCAGACTGCAGCTTCCACCACCAGCCTTTCGCTGAGTACTGGCCTGTCTCTGGCTGATGTTCATTCCAGCCCGGCCTCGGCCCATTCAAGCCCTAGATCATCTGGGCGGGCAATATCTATTCTGGTCTCTGATTCGGAATCATCTCACCAGTCTCCCTGCAAGCACCAGGCAAAGATATGACACCTTTCTCCAGTCCAATATGCCCCTCCACGCAGGGAAATTTACTATTATCATGAACCATGTTGATACCCAACTCAAGATGACTATGGGGATCAGTACCACCACTATGACCCCTACTATCATGAAGACCGGACTGAGCATGTCTATTATGACGAACCAAGAAGGGTGAGAAATGCCTCTCCACCCTGATACTTGCCTTCCGTATCACCTTCACCGCCACGACACCGACATTGTTCATCCACGATGTATCCAACATCCACTCAACATACATCGATCCCTACAAAATCAGCTCTCAAACGCACTCTCATGGTACCGGATTCTCTACTACAACCCAAACGAGCTAAGCACTCTTCCAGACACTCTCAACATCATACATCTCTCCAGGTCACCACCTACAAGGGACACCCCCTCCATCCTGACATCGAACAGCGCCCGGTGTCAAGTGTACCTCCACCTCCACCATCACAACCGTCTGCATCGGTAACCAAGCCACTATACCGCTCACCGTCCTCACAATCCTCTCTTTCTACTCAAGATTCAACATCCGGTATATCTCAAGAATCATCCACTAATTTACCGACTCCACCTTCTGATGTGGGCGAAAACCATCCACCATCCCCATCAGAGGATTTCACATCCTATTCTCAGCTTGTCATGTGAAGGGCAAAGTCTTTACAACTGGATATCGAAGAACCACCACCTAAAAAGAAAGACCTGGTTTTTGATGACCTCAGTCAGGATAAGACACCACCCCTTAGCTTGAGTTTCATCCTGGCTATGCTCGATTTAGTAAAAGAATCATGGGACAAACCTTCCTCCTCACTTCAAATTTCAAGACACGTTGAAAATCACGACAAAACGCAGGGCCCTGACACAGCTTTTCTCTCCAAACATCTGACACCAGACTCAATTATCGTGGAATCTAATCAGCCGAGAGCGTAATAAATCTTCCATAGCTCCCACCAACTGAGAAGGAAGAAGGCTAGACATTCTTGGGAGACGTCTCTATTCTCTCATGTTATTTATCATGAGGGTCGCTAATTATCAAGACGCTATGGGCGCGTACCACCGCCAGTTATGGGATAGAGTTTTAGCTATCATTCAAGCAGTTCCGGACATCACCAAGAATGAGGCCTTAAATATCCACACCGAGGCCTCAACTCTGACTAAACAGCAGAGAATTGCTTCCCGCTATACCGCGGATGCGGCCTCCAAAGCTATGTCCACCTCTGTTGCCTTGAGGCGCCATGCTTGGCTGAGTTCGGCTGGTATCTCAGATGACTCTAGGTCAAGGATAGAAGACCTTCCGTTTGATGGTGATGGCCTTCTTAAAACTAAAACAGATGAAGTAATGGATAATCTTCATAAACTCCGTAAGACGGCACGGTCATATTTCATCCAACAACCTTATCAACAACCTTACCGGTATCAGCGCCCTCAATTCCGATGACAGCCTTTCTTTCACCAGGGGTTTCAACCTTACCAACACCTATATTGACTGTACAAACCACAAGCTTCTGGTTCCGACGACAGCCTTTCTTTTTACCAGCCTTTCTTTTATATTGACTGTACAAACCACAAGCTTCTGCTGGATCCCATCCAGGTCCATCTACATCTACAATGCCTCCTTTTCAACATCAACAGCAACAACCACACCGACAGCCTTTTTGACGCCCTCAAAAGAAGTCCATCTACCAATACCTCCTTTTCAACATCAACAGCAACAACCACACCGACAGCCTTTTCGACACCCTCAAAAGAAGGGTAAGCATTATCCATAGACCACTTCTATCTACATTCCAAACTAGACTTCATCCATTCTCATACCATTTCTGCTGTCTCCCGTTTGGGCTTTCCATGGCACCGAGAACCTTACCAAATGCATGGCACCCCTCGCTGCATATCTATGACTTCAAGGTATTACCATATGCCTGTACATAGATGACTTATCCTTCTTATCATGATGCCATCAGAGCTACCATCGCTGCATATCTATGACTTCAAGGTATTACCATATGCCTGTACATAGATGACTTATCCTTCTTATCATGATGCCATCAGAGCTACCCAACTCACACTGGATACTCTCCAAGATCTCGGACTCAAGGTAAACTCTGCCAAACCTTCTCAGACTGCCACCTATATTGGGGCGTTTTTCGACTTCCTACAAGCCAGAGCCTTTCTCCCTCCAGAGAGAATCACCAAATTAAAGCAAGTCATTCGACCGTTCCAACTCCTAGCTTCAGTATTGGCGCATTAAGCCCAGCACCTTCTTGGGCTTACGGCTTCTGCAAAGCTCAAAATGTGATCCTATCCCTATTCAATCCCATGACAGATCACCTATCCAAACATCTTACAGTGACATCAGAACTTGCCAGTCAACTCACCTGGTGGACGTTTCTTCCTCACTTGCTTGTAGGCAGACCCTTTCAGCCTCTGAATACAGGTCAACCCTGACGCCAGCCCGTCAGGATGGGGAGCCCACTGTTGACACCACAGGATACATGGTCTATGGATGAAACAAGAACAATCATTATACATCATCCATCTCGAACTCTTAGCAATGATCTAGGCCTTCAGCGCCTTCTTACCTCTCCTTGCAGGGCGAGCCATACAGCTATCCACAGACAATACCACAGCGCTGTACTGTATAAACAAGGAAGAAGGTACCCACTCCTTGTTGCTCCTGTATCTGGCGGTCGAACCCTGGGAATGGTGTTAGTAGTGGTCCACGTAGTGGTCCACGTCCCCACAGAGGACAACCTTCCTGCAGACCATCTCGCCTTAACACAAGGAAACACGAATGGGCACCGAACAACCGTTTTCAACCTTCTCTGTCATCAGTGGGGTGTCCCGTCCATCAATCTCTTTGTTTCTGAGACCAACACCAAGTGTCAACAGTATTGCTCCCAAGCCGATATCGACAGGAACTCACTCAGAGACGCCTTTATGATAGACTGGGTCGGAGACCTACTCTATTTATTTCCTCCGATTCCACTCATACGGCAAACTGTCATTCGACTTCGACAGTTCCACTCAAATGCCATCCTCCTCACTCCATGGTGGCCACGTCAACCGTGGTTCACCCACCTGAGGTCGATATCGTCCGACATGCTCCATCTCCCGTTGATCCCCGACCTTCTGACCCAGGACAACGGGATGATTTATCACTCCGACATAGACTCTCTGAACTTCACAGCATGGAGGATATTCCTGATGTAAAGAACATTCTAGATTGGGCCCGAAAGCCATCAACCCAACAATTATACCAAAGCAAATAGAAAGCATTCCTTTCTTTCGCCAATTCTGAGTACTTACCTACAACACCGGTTTCTCTGAAGACTTTACTTACCTCTATCCTTCATCTCTTTAATCTCGGACTATCCCACTCTACCTTCAAGGTGTATATTTCTGCTATTACAGCCCATCAATCTTCTCAGTCTGATTCAGCTAGGTTTTTTTCTCACCCAAAGTTGAAGAAATTCTTGAAGGGACTCCAAAATATTTGTCCCCCACATCAACATCCGCTCCCTCAATGATCTTTGCAGCTTGTCCTCAATGCACTTAACCGACTACCTTTCGAACCAATGGCTACTACTAATTTCAAATTACTTTCCTTGAAAACATCATTCTTTGTAGCAATAACATCTGCTAAACGTACTAGCGAGCTTGCAGCCCTCAGATCGGACCCCCACCTTTCCTTCAGTTCCACCTGCATAAGGTGACCCTCTATTGTGATGTATCATTTTAACCCAAATTTATTTCTGAATTGCATCTCAATCAACCATTAATTATCTCTGAATTGCATCTCAATCAACCATTAATTCTTCCAACTCTATTTCCATCTCCTACACCTCTCGAGCGCATGCTCCACATGCTTGATGTAAGATGCTCTTTGGCCTTCTATATCGATAGAACTAAATCATTCAGAAAGTCTTCAGGGCTCTTCTTATGCTTTCCTGGCCATCATAAGGGTGCCCCTGCTTCACCTCAAACTATATCTCGCTGGATTGTCCAAACTATCTTATTGGCATATCAGCTCCCAGGCAAAACACCTCCTGAACATTTAACAGCTCATTCCACCAGAGCGCTATCAGCTTCTACTGCCTTCCAGCATGGAATAGAACTTCCTCACATCTCCCGTGCAGCTGCAAGGTCTAACCCATCGACCTTTGTGAGGCAGTATCGTCTTGATGTCCAAAGAATGATGCTGCATTTGGCAGAGTGATCCTGACAGCTCTTCTACTGTGACATCCCACATCCGGTAAGTGAGCTTGTCCGCCACCCAATTGTGTGCATTCACAGAGGCCATGAAGAAGAAAGAGAGGTTACCTACCTGTAACCCTGGTTCTTCTAGTGGGCCTCTGTGAATCCACACCTCCCGCCCATCCTCCCCTCTGTCCGTCACGTTGTCTTGTGATAGAGGCCTTGGACAGCGGCGGACTCTTAAAGGAACTGAGGGGACCTTTGGAGGGTGGAGCATGCGCTCCACGGGGGAACGTCCTACTAATCACATGTCTTTAAGCTCTAGAAACTTCCAAGACGTCCTGCACAGGCGCAGAACAACAGAGGACCACTAGAAGAACCATGGTCACAGGTAGGTAACCTCTCTTTCTTGTTGTTATGTCCCATTAAGTTGCCTCTGACTTATGGTAACCCTGTAAATCAGCAGTCTCCAAAATGCCCTGTCCTCCAAAATAGCTCTGCTTGGCTTTTGTAAACACAAGCCTATGGCTTCCTTGAGGCAGTCAGTCCATCTCGTATGTGGTCTTCCTCTTTTCCTGCTGCCAGTTTCTACCTTTTGAGGCTAGTTTGTGCTTCATTTGATCTAGGACCCACTTGCTTGGCATTGTTGGTGTTGTTTAGTCGTTTAGTCGTGTCCGACTCTTTGTGACCCCATGGACCAGAGCACGCCAGGCCCTACTCTCTTCCACTGCCTCCCAGGGTTGGGTCAAATTCATGTTGGTTGCTTCGGTGACCCTGTCCACCCATCTCGTCCTCTGTCGTCCCCTTCTCCTCTTGCCTTCACACTTTCCCAACATCAGGGTCTTTTCCAGGGAGTCTTCTCTTCTCATGAGATGGCCGAAGGATTGGAGCCTCAGCTTCAGGATCTGTCCTTCCAGGGAGCACTCAGGGTTGATTTCCTTCAGAACAGATAGGTTTGTTCTCCTCACAGAGGTTAAGTGGCAACTGAGGAATGGCAGTTTCTCCTATAGATGTCTAGATGGAAGGGGAAGCTTTGCCACCCTAAATGCCCCCAAATGTATGTTG